CCTTTTATGAGTGGTGTTATTTCAGCAGAATAAAAGAAGTCAGCTGCTAACCAAAGCAGGACTTTCTTCTACTTTTTATCTTTCTTTCACTAATAAAGAAATAGTCTGCATGTCTTTGTTTCTTGATCTTGTGGTTCTCATGTTTGTTTTAATCAAATGGAGCCCTTTGGAGGGACGCCACTTCTGTAACATGGAAACTCTACGTCCTAAAAGCATCAATCTGGAGGAAAAGGACAGCAGGGTTTCTGACCTGTACCCTTTCCTTCTCCCTCATCAACGTCTGTTTATTTAAAATCATTTTTTCTCCTTATTTTTACACACATGTACATTAATCCCCAGTCATACATCTTCACCCCTCCTTCGCTTCATCCCTCCTTCTTTACCAGGGCCGTTTATTTTAGATTCCTGAGGAAAAATCTGCAGTGAAATAAAAATAAAGGTAGCTTCACACTCATAATATTTAGAGTGGAGTGCTATGTATTTTCCTTTTATTAAATGCTGATTAATATGCAGTGTCGTGGAGGCTAATACTGCGGCTTTCATTTCCCCAGTATCCTGTGCTGAGCCGGCTCTGCCTCAGAGGGGGAACAGCCACAAACAGGCTGCAGCAGAGTTTGAAGTCTGGTTTGAATTAAGAGAAAGAAAACTCCTTCTGACCGTTACTCTTTTTCCTTTCTCCTCTTCTGTCAGGATTTCCTTTTTTTCTGATCTTGTGATTATCAGGAGGATGTGTGTTTTGTGGCTGGTGTGAATGAGGATACTGGGAATGTCCAGAGCCTAATTGCTCCATCAAGATTTTTAGATTAATGTGTGTGGATTCCTTTAAATGAACAATTAACATGTTTCATTGTGGCAGATGAGGAAGTGAAGGCAGACATAACAATGCTGTGTCAGCAGACTCTCCAACCACATTCTCAATGTACGAACAGCAGCAAACTCACATCAGCTTCATACATCAAGTGCATTGAAAATATAACCGTGAAACGGAGCTGCAGAAAAGGCTGCCTCTAAGGACACCCACATTTCAGAAGCAAACAAACAGAGAAGTGAACTCTGAACATAAAAAAGGTGGAGCTGCCCCCCCCAAAAATCTATAGATCAATTTCTGGGAGAAGCCCAGTGGCCACAACTCTTAGTTTTTTCTCATCTAACACTTGTTTATCACATAGAGAAGAAAAGGCATGTGGCGTTTGTAAAGCATACGATTGAATGTATAAGGGCTGAGGAGAGTAAAGGGAGTAAAGGGGCAAGGGAACCCCATCTCTCTCCTCTTCCTCAGGCCATAATCATGCCCTTGTTCTTTCTCCACAAGAAACCATACAAGAGACCTGCCAACATATTGTAAGTTTCTGAGCATCATACAAGCAGCATAGAGGATTTCAATACTGGTGTGCATGGAAGTAGAATAGCCAGAAAACAGATGTGCCACAACAAAAACATCTTGTTTGCTCCAGTTTCATGCCATGAACACCTCAAAGATCAGGACCTGGTTGGGAAGTATGACTCACAGCAAGTGTGTAAGTGGCGCAGGTTGGCCTGTCACGTGAAAGGCTGTCTTGGAACAAGCTGGTAAGCATATAGCTGGCTGTTTAAACAGGTCTCTATGAGATACCCTCTCATTTCCTGCTGGAAAAGCTGATCAATCACACCTCTCATCACCTTGGAGCCAGAGAGGAATGGAGATGAAGGGTGATATGTTCAGGAGAGAGTGAAAGGTGAGTGGAGCAGAGGAGCGACAGGATCCTGAGGTCATTTTTAAGGTGCTGGTGCTTTATTGTGGAGCTGCATGACTGAAGCATTGGAACAGAAATAATCAAGATGATTGGTTCATCAAATAGAGTGATTGCACAGATCCACATTAAAGCAATGTGAATAAATGCTTGAGTTACACCTTTATTTTAGAAAATCAGACTTTGTGAGTGTTGCTCTGTAAGTAAATGTTTCATTGCATACAGTGTTGTCTGGTAGAATTAGATTTTTAAGAATCAACCTTGAGAGTTATCACTTCAGGTGTAAAGGTCAAAACAGACGAGGTCCCACTGTGGCAGAAAACAAAAATGAGCACATATATCTCTTCACTGGAGGAATATGGGGGGGAACATAGGAGAATGAAAGAAAAGGAGGAAAAGGAGGAAAGAAATGGATTGGAAGTGCTTCAATACTGCATGGTTCTTAATCCACAGACCTTGCTCTTTTCCTCCATAATTTGTCTGTCTGAGTGTTTTTCAAGAGCTAGATGAATTGGGAGAGTTAACATCCATCTATCAATGCAGAAAGAGGAATGTCCTGCTTTTACTGCTCCTCCCTCCCCCCCTCCCTACTTCCCTGCCCAGCAGATAAAACAACACTTTGTGCCAGCAGCTCTTGATTTCCACTGCTGCAACACCATGTCATTTTTCAGGCGGCCTCTATCAGAAGCATTTAGGCTGAATGCAGAGCAGACCCCAGTAGCCAAATGGCCCCTGCCTTTTCTGACTCAGACCATACTCAGCTCCAGTTTGTTGAGACGTGGGCCTGTGTGTGTGTGTGTGTGTGTGTGTGTGTGTGTGTGTGTGTGTGTGTGTGTGTGTGTGTGTGTGTGTGTGTGTGCGTGCTCCATGGCCCTAATTTTAACAACTCTCCTTTGAAATAACAGGTAACCTTATGACTTTATTCTTATAAATTAATGACTTTATTCTCGTAAATTCACGAATTAAATTTTGAAGTCTTTAAAAAAAATTCTCAATATGGCCCTCATATTCCTTCATTCAAAACATGCAATAATTGGATGAATTTTGTGGGAATGATCTGTGCTTGTATGTATCTATTGTTTTGTGTCTGTGCAAGGTCGCACAATTAAAAAATAAATGCTGCGCTCTGCAGCTTTTCTTCAAGTCAGTTGTGACGCGAGCCTGAGGGCTGGGACATTTGGCGACTCAACCAGGAAGTCTTCCGAATGGTAGTCTGTCCCATTTCACTAAAACCGGACCATCTCACTCAGGGTACTCAAGTCCACATAACGGCAGTGCGCTCAGCCTTATGTGGTCTCTGAAATGAGACACAGCCTCAGAGATGCTGGATACTTTAATGGAAGTCATGAACATCAGTGTCTACTGAGATATTGCTTTACTGATGTTATTCAGAAAGACCTTGATGAGTGTGTGAGACTGTGGAACAGTCACAGGATTCGCCCCTCCAGAACAGCATCATATCCAGGAGGAGTGCCCAATGAGCTGTACTACCTATCTCACAGGTAAGACTTTGGTGATAGATTGATATTATTGGTAGTTTTCTTTCTATCTTAAATGTCAGAAATTGAGATGAGTTCTTCTGTAAATAGGTTTGGTTCCAGAGATTGCGGATTTCAAATTGAACCTGCTCAACTGGATGCCTTTCCTGAGGCTCACCTGACAAGAACACAATGTGGGGACACAAACATGCAGGAGTACTTGGACTTAGCTATGGAAAGCAACCATTTTCAGAAACCAGAGCACTGGCAGCCTGCATGTGAGCTGTATCTGAGACTAAAAGAAATTGATCAGCTGTGAATATAAGAGTGGTTTATTGTAATGGTAGAAAAAAAGTGTCTGTATTTGCACACAGCTTCACTATTTCAGGAAGTATGTAAATAAAAATGAAGCAAAAACAATTAAAGTACAAAAAATCTTTGTCTCATCAAATTCTTGATTCATAAATTCACCCTGGGAGAGTTGTGGATTCAAACAGTCCAATAGCACATGCTCGAACATAACACAACATTTAAAAAAAAAAACAAAAAAAAAAACTCGGTAACACTTTATATTAAGGTCCTTGTAATAAGCATTAGTTAATGGTAATAAGGCCCTTATAAGTGCGTACAAGATGCTTATTAACATTATTATTTGTTTATAAGACTATATATCTATTAATAGTCTCATTATAATAGTTATTTGCAGACTTTAAGAGATTTATAATAACTTATAAGAAACTTGTTAACTGTTTGTTGATGCTTACGAACATTAATAAAATCCTCATGAGTATCTTATAACTGTTTATAATAACATTATAAACACATATATTGACTCAACTAGCCCAACCATGATGGCTTTATCATGCCTTTATTAATCTTTTTGTTTGATTTATTAACATTAATATACACTTTATTGCTCATCTACTGTAAGTTAACTATGCACTTGTTTACAGTTAACTGTGCTTTTTGCAGGTACTGGATCTAAAGTGAGAACAATGTCTTATTAAGGCTAATAAATCTTTTATTGAGCATTATTATGCCTTTAAGAATATTTTTTTCCTGCTTTATCAAAATAAAATGTACTTTACTATGCCCTTGTTATCAGTTAACTATGCACTTATTAACAGTTAACTATGCTTTTTGCAGGTATTGGATCTAAAGTGAGAACAATGCCTTATTAAGTCTCATAAATCTTCTATTATATGGAGGATGACTCCTCTGGTAAGTTTAACTGCAGCTAACTAGTTAGTGCACATTCAAACACGCAGCTAGCTACATAGCTAGCTAGCCAAAGCTTGTAATTTTATGGAGCATTACTGTTGCAGCCTGACAGGGGTGCAGCAGCAGTCTTGAGCTGGTTACTCCTCTGTGTATTAGTGAGGGATGAAGTGCCTGTCCAATTGAAAATAATCAAACTCATATAAACAACCTATTTTCCTATTTGGTTACATTAAAACTCTGTTTTGAATGTGCACTAACTCGTTAGCTGCAGTTAAACTTACCAGAGGAGTCATCCTCCATATCACAACGGCTCCTCTTGTCATCATGATCTTTTCGAGATCCAGAGCGGGTTTGTATTATCCGCGGGGCCGAAGATGTTGTTCTCTTCATTTTGCAAGCTGCACCAAAACGACGTGCACATTGATCGTGTGGTTGAGCCGCTAGCTTAAACCGGAAGTATCAGTTCTACACTGCTCTTTCAAAATAAAAGCATATGAGAAGCGCACAAAGGCAAGAACAGCTACGGATGTAGGCTGAAAAGAAGCGAAAAAAGACGCGACCCGCGAAAAGCAACGGAAGAGGAGAAAAAAAAGTGACTTTACCAAGATGACTCTGCTAAACAAAATCAGAAAACTTATTTTTGAGTTCAACCAGAAAAACTTTAAACTTTACCTTCAAAAATAAGTTTTCTGATTTTGTTTAGCAGTGTCATCTTGGTAAAGTCACTTTTTTTTCTCCTCTTCCCTTGCTTTTCGCGGGTCACGTCTTTTTTCGCTTCTTTTCAGCTACATCCGTAGCTGTTCTTGCCTTTGTGCGCTTCTAACATGCTTTTATTTTGAAAGAGCAGTGTAAAACCGATACTTCCGGTTTAAGCTAGCGGCTCAGCCACACGATCAATGTGCACGTCGTTTTGGTGCCGCGTGCAAAATGAAGGGAACAACATCTTCGGCCCTGCGGATAATACAAACCCGCTCTGGATCTCGAAAAGATCATGATGACAAGAGGAGCCGTTGTGATGTGGAGGATGACTCCTTTGAGTCTGAACTCTAGGATCCATTCAGCCATATGGCTTAAAAGCAGCCAAACCCTGGACTATTTTGAATCCCAAAGTCCATTTGAGACCTAAACTTGCTGTAGGACTCTAGGATTGGCAATCTCAACAAGTTCGAACAAGTGTTGGCCATCGGAAATGGAGACTCATCCTGGAACTCAATTTTTGGAAATGGCTCCAGTTGGAAGGAGGCAGTTAAGACAACCCAGTTGAAAACATCAACACCTCTTCCATAGATACAGCAGCCTCGCCCTCTGCAAAGGAAAAAGATGTATGATTGTAATGTGTAATGATGTATAAGTATGTATAAGTAGTTAGAAAAACATACAAACCTTCACAGTCAATGAAATAATGTGCCCAGTAGGCCAAGATTTGGCTTTCTTTCTGTCTCCTGTTGCTCCCTGCAGGGCTGAGGTCAGGTTTGAATAGTCTTTCCATTTCCAAGGCAGTCAGTCTCTTTACAGAGTGGCATAGGACAGGGGTCAGCAAAATAAGGTGTTGCTGTAGTGCCGCTAAAAACTGAAGGGCTGAAATACCATCTTTGAATCCAATGAAAAGAGAACACAAACAGTAATTCACTGGTGTGTAATGCCAACTCTATTTAAATTGTCGAAAGTAAACTCTGAGTTTTTCATCCCAAAAACTGCAATCCACCTGTGTATTCGAAAAAAAAGTTTTTATGATTTCTCTATGAAGTTCATTCTGTCTTCCATTTTACAATTAAGCTCTTGTTTTCTTTTATCTCAGACAGTAGGTATTTACCTGACATGTCTCGGCTCAAGCTTGCACCTTCTTCAGAGTGTCACGTGGTGTTAGTGCGATGACGTCTTTATCAGCTGGTGTTCCATGAAGGCGTGACTCATCCGTCAGATCCAAGCTGCGGCTCAGCGCACGTCCACCAGAAAGCCCCACTGAAGAAGGTGCAAGCTTGAGCCAAAACATGTCAGATAAACACACCTTAACACCTTCTGTCTGAGCTAAAAGAAAACAAGCTTAGTTTTCACGATTTACACATGGCAAGGTAAGCGTTACAAAATGCACAAATTACACACAACCACAGTCACATGGCCAAATGATGCAGAGTGCAGGGTAGCATGAATACAAATATACATGCCAGGAGGCATAAAAAAAAATCTTACCATTAATAATATGATCCTACCTGTCAATTACAGATGAGTTGCGGTCAATTATATACCAGCGGCGATAGTCTGCCACAATATCCTTCTTCTCCTCCACAAAAGACACACGTCTCATACAGCCTGCTGTCTGTTACATTGTGCTGTGTCCCATGATGCATTCTCTTAGAGCGTCCAATGAAGCAGCATTATCAATCTGAAAAATATAAAAAACAGGCATAGACACCCCAGTAAATAACTGTGTATTGTATGTTCTTGCATACTTATCTAGTGACATACATAGAGCAATAAATAAAACCAATTATGTGCACCAAATGTAGGAGGTAGAAATTCCCCTAAACACCAACAACATAAAACTCAGTGTAACTACACTGCAGCTTTACGCTATTCTCACCTCTCGCAAAGCTTCCCCTACTTCTTCGTCAGTTATTGGACTAAGCGATGGTTTGAATGAAGGCTGGCCAGCAAGATAATACACAAGATCCTCTGACAGGAATTGGGCCCTGGACCTCCATGTACAACTGACACTGCAATCATCTTTCCTGCCAGGAAGTATTCAGCTTCCCGAACAGCTGTGAATGAATTCCTATTTCAAAAATAAAACATACATAACATTGCATACTTTGGGATATTGAGAGAAAAAGCATATGCCATGTGATATATTAATCATCATTAACCAGCTATTAGTGTAGTACATATCTAGCCCTATGCATACCATTTGCATAGTAGACCAGGAACCGGTGTCCTTCTGATCTATCAAAAATGGGCCGGTCTTTCAGGTGTTTCATGAGCAGAGATAAAAATTCTCGCTGTGGACCACCTGTGTCGATTCCATCCTCAAAAACACCAGAATCATCAGTAAATCTGACCAGCATGTCACAGGTTTCAGAATATGTTGAACACTTAAAAGCTCGGACTGCTCCATCCCAAAAATTCGCCCTTGAGATATTGAACCTGCTGACCCTTTTGTGATCAATAGGAAGCGACAGGTTGGCCGCAATGTCAGGCAGTGTGATGTCCATCTCCTCCCTGAAATGACAGCAAAGTTATCTCATCAATAAATATTCCAGATAAGAGCAATATTGCACAATAAAAAGAATTGGAATGCCACAGTCAGAAGTTCATCTTACACAGCTGGATTTTGGAAATTCTCCACCCTAACTGCAACCAGATCCTCCTCCTCTTCCTCGACATCTGGTGCATACAGGGCTGTGTATTTACTGTTGGGGAATCACAATTTCCACATCTTACAAAACACAACATTTTCCTGAGTAATAAAATGTAAATTACATGAGTCACTAACATTTGTACTTACTTGTAGCAAGAAGTCTCAGTTAAGTTTGTTTTAGGGGGATCCATGTCCTCTGCATCAGATATTACTATCTAGACAAGAGATTAAAATGCTTGAAACAAAAACACTAAAAGTAAGAAATTACAGGCTGCCACAGTCTTCTTTAGTACCTGCCCAGGCTGACTTGCTGCTGAATTTCCTGCTGCAGGTCTGAAGCATGTAAAAAAATAGTCTATTAAATTTGTTTAACTCCCTGACAAATGCTAGATGCCAAAATGTACCGACCTTTCATCTTTGGGTTTGTGTTTGGGAGTGCTTTGGTTTTCTGGTTCAAAAACCTAAGAGGAAAAACATACATTTATTAGTACTTTGTAATAGCTTCCATAACTGTTGCCCTACAGTGACATTATATATCTGTGGTGAAATGTTGTCAGTGCTGTGATAGATAAATCAAACATTTTCATGCATACAGATATTATAAAAATATGAAAAAATATTTTGTGTACCACAGTGTCAGCTTGGTTGAATGCGGCTGTGTTCCTTGTTGTAATGATAATTTCAGTGTCAGAGTTTGAGGTATCATCCACTTCTTTAAAAAAAGAATAATTCGACAGATCATGTAGATACTGTGGGTGTATTCTTCAGTAGAGTACCCAAAATATAATAATAATGAAATCCACTAACCTCCTTTGAAATCTTTTTCCAGGCAAATGAAAAAGGTGATCCTGCCATATGGCCTCCCTAGTTCCTTTTTATATTCGGACAGTTTAAATGGTCTTTCTGACCCAGGCACATGGACCACCTCTGAACAGTCAGGATATAAAAGGACATACGGCCCTTCCGGCATTGTCCTTGTTAAATGTTATCATTTTCTGGACAGCTTGTTTCAGTACATCAGGTGCTTCTACCTCTGGGTCAACCAATAATGGGAGTGTTTTCCCTCCCCAAGGTTTTAAACCAGTTACATCAGTTCCATTTAGCACCATCAGTCCAATGTTTATCTAAAATGGGAAAGATAGAGTTACCTATTACATAAACATATAAAACACAAATATAAATGATAATAATAATAATAATGCATCAGATTTCATATAGCGCTTTATCAGAGACCCTCAAAGCGCTTTACATTGGATACATCATTCATTCGCTCACACAGTCACACTTTGGTGGTGGTGGTGGAAACATGGCTGCCATTCTGCACCTACGGCCTCTCCGACCACCACCACACAACACTCACAATCATACACCAGTGGAGGACACACACTGGGAGCAAGGTGGGTTAAGTGTCTTGCCCAAGGACACAACAGACAGACTTGGATTAGGGGGGAATCTAACCGCCAACCTTCCGGTTATTGGACGACCGCTCTACCTCCTGAGCTACTGCCGCCCCATATATACATCAGTGTTTCTCATCAATTTTGGAGAATGTGGTGTTGTTCCATGTCTATTTTGTGTCACCACAGTTTGATAGTGTCAGATAACTACACTCCAAATTATCCAATTACTGTACCCAGTGGTGTTACGCACATATGCCTTCATCAAAGACATTTTTTTCCCTCTTAACTTGATTTGATCTGTGCAATACATCTCTCATGACACAGTAATGTTAACAGATCCAGTCACCACGAGTTAGGCAGTCGGGTATGGATAAGCTACGATGATTTGCAACCTACTTGGACATGTTTGCGTTGTGTAGCTCAATCTTTCCCTCTCAACCCGCAGTTAAAAGACTGGCGATCTTTTGACTTGGAGCTTCTGTACTCCAGGACTGCTTGTATGATTGGCAAGGTTTTTCTGCTAAAATGAACAAAGCTTCCTGTCAAAATAGAAAGATAGCAACCGCTAACCAATTCCTCCATTCACTCCATTTTGTAAAAGTGTTTTCTGTTTTGTTAATTTGTTTTCTGAAATGTAATTTTTTTTTGGATCCTGTATTCTTGGTTTGCACCTCCAGGCCACTGTATATAATAAAGGATAATGATAAAATTTAAATGTTCTATTCTAAAATTGATATTCTTGTTTTGTTTGTCAGTTTTTTTAATTCAGGCTTGACAGTTTTGGCGTGATCATGCTGAGCTAACGTTAAGCTTCTGTAAAGAATGTCATGTTAATGTTTACTTTGGCACTCCCTGTGGACAAAGTGTTTTTTTGTTGACTTTGTGAATCACTGTTTTTTGAACCAAAATCTCATCTTGATATCTCCCAGTTGCAGATACCAGAGTCATGGAGCTGCAGTAAAGTCAGCTCACTCTGCCCAGTATCAGGCTCCAAAAATACAGCCATATTAGCTACAAAGCTCTGCTAGCTGTTAGCTTCTAGCATTATGCTCCAGACATCCTAAAGAAGCTACACAAAACCCCCGCTCAGGTCTCCAGGGGTTATGAGAGTATTACTATGTCAGAATCCAGCTCTGAGTTTCCTGACTGCTGTAATTTGAATGTTGCTCCCTGATATCAAACAATGCTACCTTCTCATCTTGTCCTCCTCTTCACTGTCCTGTTCGGAACAAAACTGTCTCTCTCAGCACCCCCAAAGGCTTGGAGCACTAATGTAGTGTTCTTCGCAGTTGCTTTCTGCATTTGAGTTTTTTTATTTTGTTTTGTTTGTGTACTTGCAGCACTTTTGCTGTTTATGCAGTTGTTGTGACCTTTTGCATCACATTCTTACATTTGCAGCATGTTTTTAAATTTGCAGTGTATTCGAACCATTGTGTTTATTTTGGACTTTTTTGTTTCTCCTATTGAAGAATGTTCAGACCGTTGACTGTCAGCCCCTGTAGATAGAATTTTATTGTCATTTTGACAAACACAACAAAATTAAAAAGCGCCTTGACAGTCAGTGCATTAAAACTGTACTGCATTAACTGTAGTTATTGTCAAACCTGTCATTTATCAAGAACATGTAAAAATGCCTGTAGTGTGTTTGTAAGCACGTAGTATGACACCCTTCTTCTGCCAGTGGTCTTAGACATGAAAAATGGAGAACAGTCACTCTTCTTGTTGATGATCTTGTTTGTACATTTTGATCCTAAAAAGAAGATATTCGATTTCATCACCTACTAAAATCTCCTCCCATGAACTTGAAGCACTTTGGGGTAAACAGGGTTGAAGTGTGAACTCATCATAGCACCTCAATCTAAACAGAGCTCAATGATAATTCAGATGTACCCATAGACTGTATATAAGATGGACAGAGTCTGCCTCCTTGCTGGGTGAAGCCACTCCGAGAACAGCACCCTCTGATGGTGGGCTGCAGTACAGGTCATAAATCCTGCCTCCGCCAGCAAAGCTTATGGGACTGTGGACAAACTTTAGAAATGTATTACACAGAACATAAATTTTTCTACCCCCTGCTTGTGATGTTGACATGTAGTTATTGTAAGACTGGTTTGTGCCCAAGTCCTTTTTTTTTCTGTACAGCTCCGTTTTTAAAAGTTATTAGGGGGTTCATGTTTACTATGATTGACACCTGGTACAGCCTATGGGCGTTCAGGGATTGCGTAGCTCTCCCGGGGGGATACGCTGTTTGAGCCGAGCGTCATCACAGGGACTCTCGGCGACTGCGCGGCCGAATGCGTGCATCGCTACTGCGCAGCTCTAGTTTCAAGGAAGAGGAGAAAAACCTGGAATTACCGAGAGCTTTTTGGCTTCAAATCCGTATACAGGCGGAAGGCGGAACCAGGTTGTCCATCTTATATACAGTCTATGGATGTACCACAGAAAAACCCTAATAACTTCTTTAAGCTGCCAATTGTGATATTTTTAAGAGTTATAATTCATGCATTAGCCAAATGGAAATTGGCAAAGAAGTCTAGATATAAGAGAAACTGTGATCCCTTTTGTTTCACCTGAAAGCGGTGTGACCATTACACCTGTATAGTGCTATAGCCTGAAGATGGTGCAATAATCCAGCTGAAACTCTGTGATGGATATCACCACCATGACCACTGTTCAGTGTGCTGGACTACACAGCATCACAGACCAGACTGTGGGTACAACTTTATACGTTTTGTTTATATCTTGTTCGGTGATAGTCATGCATTCATGTGAGCTGAGCTCAACCAGCACACTTGTAGTTGGCATGATTGCAACCTCTAGGTGATAATGGATTAAGTTGTGCACTTGTTGGGCCCTCTATTAAGGTGAAACTGCACAGTGAGGTGATTCAATCCCTTTTTTATTCTGTCTGCCCCCAAATACAGATGGTCTTTATACAACTACACCCTATAGATTTTAGTAAGAGACGGATGCAACTGGATCCACCGTTCTTCCATATAAACACAAGGGTCTTTTTAAGGAGGTGTCAAAAGTACAAATGTTGTAGTTATAGAGGTGCAGTGCAGCCGTAAACATGCTGATTAACATCTTAATCAATGTTCTATACAGGCTGAATATACTGTATCTACTGTAGCTTCAGCATGACTGCAGGACTGCTCTCTGCATTTGAGCATTGTGACACAAGGTGCAGCCAATTTCTTGTTAGCTCACCTCGTCCAGCTGAAAGACAAGAAAAAAAAAAAAAAGCAGAGAAAGAAGAAGTCTGTGTAATGGATCCCCATTATAACTTCATGTATTATAGCAGACTTGAGTTTTATGAGCTTTTAACAAGTTTCCCAGGGGTTGCAATAATTTCTGCGGTTTATTTTCGGAACATTTACTTTTTCTGGTCCGTAAACGATCGCTATGGGCCTTTCGCTCTCAAGCCCACTTTTGCTCCATCTCAATCCAGTTTCACACTCCTTCTTTGGGGCACTTTACTGTTGTTGGATGGTGCTTTGGTCAGAGCCAACGTCAATCCTCAAATTTCCACAGCCCCTGTTCCAGCTCACCTCAGTAGGGTCAATGCAGCTTGATTGACATTCATTACATAAAACGTTACAATGAACATGGAAAGCATGGCCGAATAGTGACAGACAGCAGCATCTACCAAAAGAGCAAAACACAACACTTGGAGGTTTCTGGCCTGTCAGTGTCTTTGTCAGAGCATACCTTGTCAGCTACAACATGTACCTGAGTGTCATGGTCTGGCATCAGAACACCATTCCCCAGTCCCTCTGTCTGGCTGTTATTTCACAAAGCCTGTAAGATTACCAGAAATTACATCCATATGTGGGAAAACACATAGAGAGTACAAGAGAGAGAGAGCACAGGGAGGGTGTAAAACAGGACGTCCACCCTCATCTGTATCCACTATAGTGTATCCACTATAGTTCTGCTATGACAAGTACTTTCTTTTGATTTAAGCCTGAAAAGACATCATAGTCTCATAGAAACCATTCTTTTAATTACTTCTGAATCTACATGTCATGCTTTCATCATGTCCTGATCATCTTCTGACTCTGAACCCCTTTCCTCTTAGCTTCTTACTCTCATCTCAGCTCCCATGCTTCTTCTCCATCCTCCACACTGCGTCATGTTAGCACTGTGCGAGTCCACAGCAGTTTGTCTGACAGCCAAAGTGTAATGCTACACCTCTGACCTGGGAGAGTAAGCAGTCTGCAGCTTTAGTCAGAGAAACACATCTTAAAGCTGAGCATGGCCAAGCTAAAAGGTGCAATTAACTGAGTCGCAGCCTTCAGTGACAATGCACATATAATTTGCTTTAAGTCACAGCCACTAACTCCCTGTAATTCTTTCACACTCTGCAGTAAAACAGTCTGTGCCATCCCCTGTAGCAGCCTCATCATTCATAAAAAGAGTGCAGGAGCCTCCCCAGCAAAAAAAACCTAGGCCTGCAGCATGAAATAAGCATTAAGGCTTAACCCACACAGAGCTCTGCTCATTATAATATCATGCTTACCTTGGCTTACCTTCTAATATAAGAATCAGAAAGTTCTATTCCCCTCTTTGTGGTTTGTCTCAGCTGCTTTTCTTCCACTTATTGATTAATTTCTTCTAGGATTGTAAATTAAATGTTGCTCATAACTCAAGAGTTTTTCCTTAATAAGATGCATTATTTGGGCAAACATTTCTGCCAAAGACTTAATGTGACTTTAAAGAAAGATGCTTCTACTTACTAATACTCAAGAACCACTGCTCCTCCAATCTAAAAAGTCCAGCATGTTATTTTCCAGATACACTGAGGTTGTTGAATAAGACTGCTTGGTATTTAAACGGTTCATGTCTCATCAGATCAGGGCGTTGACTGTAATGAAGTGACTGTGCAGCAGGCCTGAGGGCTCTCACTGTGCAGATCCCAGAGCACCTCCTTTTTTTGCAGACCTTACAGGATGAAAAAAACACTTTCCTAGTTCATCAGGGGGTATTCCATGAAGCTGGCTTGGCTCAAAGCCTGGCTTATTTCGGTTAGCTTGGCTAATTTTAGTGAGAGTTTGGTTCCACAAACGAGGCTTAGGGCTAGCGTGGCTTGGTAACCATGGTAACTCAGGCAGGCTTATGGTCAAGCTAACCTTAGCTGCGTCTCAGAGAAGGTTCAACAGGCTTCCAGAAGACGCTTTGTGAACCGCATGTCACACAGTAATTTCATCTTTATCTGTAATAAATGATGCTCTTGTTCGTAAAAATAAATTGAAAGCTTTTTAAAACAACAAAGGAATACATAAATCCAGACATGCCCAATACTACGCCAACCTCAAAGAGAAAGAGAAATTCAGTAGCTGAGTGGGTAAAGAGAAGTGCCGGTAAAATGTGTTTTTCACTGCTCTGTGGGTTCAATCCCATCAGCGGTAATTATTTGGAAATACCTGATTTTCTTCCTTTTATTCTGTGACTCTCAATGTACTGTCAACACATAACAGAATAAAGGCACAAATGATCTCATCCAAAACACTGAAGGCAACAACAGCAACAATTTCCCATTAAAAAAACCTTCCTTTCACGAGTGGTCCAATCTGATTATGATGATTATAATGTAAAGGTGATGGCAAATGATGACATGACTACTCTGTGTACAAGCTCATTTATGTCTTCTCCCTTTTTTTAAATCAAGGGCGCTGTGCCACTATCATCCCTGATAAAAAAAATAAAAATAAAAAAAAGACATCTCCATGTTTTTCTTCACTTTTTCTCTAAGTTTGCCTTCTTTGGTTTTAGGTCTTACCTGTAGCTGCTATACTAATCCATTATGGCTATCTATTTGTCAAATCAAGAACATGAATTATGCCTACAGTGAATAAGGCCTATAGTGAATACACACACACACACACACACACACACACACACACACACACACACACACACACACACACACACACACACACACAGAGTAGTGTGAGCAGTTTCAGGGGGAAACAACCATGCAATGCCCGTTCATTGATGAGGAACCTGTGGATGTTGGTGCTGCCATCATCCAAAGGGCTTTAAATCTGCCGGCCCCCAGAAATTTCCGGGACCGCACAAAGAGGTACAGATTCAGTAGGCTGGGAATTGTGTATTTGTGCACACTGCTGGAGCCCCGCATTGTGAGGCAAACCTGCCGGAGCAGAGCCCTGACCACTGTGCAGTCTGTCTGCATTACCCTACTTTTTTTGCCAGTGGGACTTTTCTGTACAGTGTTGGTGATGCAGAGACTCTGTCAAAGGCAACCGTGTGCCAGGAAAACCAGACACTAGATCTCGCTCTAAAGAGGAACCTCAACAGCTTCATCACTTTCCCTGGCCATCTTGAGCCGCAGCGCATCAAAGAAGAGTTTTATTGAATTGCAGGTATGAGATGATCCTCATGTGTAACTTTGCCTGCAGTATGATGTATCTATATTAAGTTATGACTCTCCTTCAGGCTTTCCTAATGTTCTTGGAGTCATGGACTGCACCCACATCTGCATCCGGGCCCCATCTGGACCTGTGGAGGCAGACTTTGTTAATAGAAAATCTTTTCACAGCATAAATGTACAGGTAAATCACATTGTACCACCGTAACAGCATATAAAGCAATGAAACATGGAGCCAGATTAGAAATGTTAAAGTGTAATGATGCTTTAATGTACATCACGTTGAACACAGCTGCATCTGTCATTTCATTTCACTGAGCAATTTTAAAAAAATACCCTTTCAAATGAAGTTCCACACACTGATGATTAAAATCAAATCAAATCAAATTTTATTTATATAGCGCCAATTCACAACAGTCGTCATCTCAAGATGCTTTTCAAAAGACAAGAGCAGGTCTAGATCACGCTCATTGTTCGATGATCAAGAACCAACCTAAGATGGGTTTTGGCCCATCTCAACTAACATGAGTAGCATTGGCAAGGAAAAACTTCCTTTTAACAGGCAGAAACCTTGGGCAGGACCAGCCTCATGTTAGACAGCCACCATGCCGCTGCTGGGTTGGGAAGGAATGTAGAGTGATGGAGGGGGAGAGAGGAGAGAGAGAAGAGGGGAGAGGGCAGGGGGAGAGAGAACAAGATAAGGGGAAGGAGAGAGAGAATTAGTAAGGAGAGGGAGGGGGAGGGAGAGAGAGTAGAGAACGAGGGTGAGAGAGAGACAGGGACAGCAGAACAACAGCAACAACAAAAACAACTCACAAAATGAGTTCAGTTTACAGGGTTAGGATATGAGTGATTATGAACAATGATAAATGAATTAAATGTGATTACAGTCAGCAGGCCTAATAGTAGTCAGCTCTAGTTTTATGTTATTAATGTCAGTGAGGCTGATGTTCATGTCTGCAGTAACAGTCCAGAGGAATCCAAGAGAAGAAGGAGCTCAGGGCCTGAGGTGGACAATCATAGATGATGCGGCTAACAGTCCAGAGGAATCCAAGAGAAGAAGGTGCTCAGGGCCTGAGGTGGACAATCATAGACGATGTGGCTAGAGTCAGGCAGGTCTGCAGCAGCCATCAGTCCGGAGCAACCAAGGAGCAGGGGGTGTTTGCAGCAACGGACCAGAGGAGCCTGAGAGATGGAGGAGCTCAGGGCCCAAGGTGGACAATCAGGGATGATGCAGCTGGGGTCAGGCAGTTCCGCAGCAGACCATCTGCAGCATTAGTCCAGTGGAGGCTAAGAGACTCAGAGAGAGAGAAATCTGGTTAGTGACTTATATGGGACAAAAAGATCTAAAGGGGAGATAGAGACAGACTCTAGCTCAGTGTGCCAGATAACCCCAGCAGTCTAGACCTATAGCAGCATAACTAAGAGCTGGTTCAAATCAGCCCTGACTATAAGCTTTATCAAAGAGGAACGTTTTAAGTCTACTCTTGAAAGTTGAGAGGGTGTCTGCCCCCCGAACCTGGAGCGGTAAATGATTCCAGAGGAGAGGTGCCTGATAGCTGAAAGCTCTTTCTCCAATACTACTTTTAGAGACATTTGGTACAACGAGCAGGATTACCCTCCATGCTGGCAGATGATCTGCAATGGACAATGCCTGATCACAAACATTGAGGCTAAATGGCCAGGCTCTTTCCATGACGCAAGAATATGGAGAGCGTCATCACTGTCACATAGGTTTGCACAAGGTAAGTCAATGTATGTGAAGCAGTTCTACTTTGCAAGTAATGAATATTGCCTGGTCATGGATGTTATCATTTGCAATAAAGGTGGATGTTTTTTCTGCAGGGGATTTTAACGGCATCCTACTTGGGGGAAGAGGTTATCCGTGCCTGCCCTATCTTTTAACCCCATACACCGATCCCGCCACAGATGCTAAGAGGGCCTACAACCGTGCCCACACAAGAACCAGGGCATGAGTAGAAATGCTTTTGGACAATTAAAATCTCGCTTTCAGTGCCTGCAAGGCCTGAGAGTGGCCCCTGACAGGGCCTGTGATATCATTGTTGAATGTGCAGTTTTGCACAACATTGCCACCATTCGTCACGAGAGACTGCCTACTGTGTTGGAGGAAGAGGGATGGGAGAACATGTGTGGATGTGTGGAAGAGTCAGGGACCTTTACAAGGTCACCTATTTCAGTTGAGCACTTTCAAATGCATTCATTTTGAATGTGTTCTTGTAGATCAGTTTGGGGTTATATGGTGTCCTCCTCCTCCTCCCCACAGGCCCTTGTGGCAGATGGTCCTTCACCCTGCAGATTGATGCACATCAAAGTATTTAAAGCATGACAAGACAGACTTGCACTTATAGAATTCAAGATACATCTGACATATGCACACATGGGTCAGGGATGATGTCAGCATCTTGAGTTGGTGGGTCGAGCAAATTTATTGTGTCCCCACACACTAAAAGGCAAAGACAAACTGTTAGAGATACCTGAGAGACTCCCAGCTCTGGAGGATAAGTAGCAGTGTGTACCTTGCACAAGTAGTGCTGGGGTTAATTGGGGGATGTCTTCAGAGGATGTCCCGCCTTCTATCCCGTCAACCAGAGGGTGCCCCTTGTTTGTGTTCAGCACTAGCTCCTTTGCTTGTGTGAGGCTTTCAGGTGCAGGTCCTCCACCTGTTGCGGTGGCCTCTGCCTTTTTTTTTGGTAGCTTACATTGACCCAATTGTCCAGGGACATTGGGTGCAGGTGCAGTGCACGCCCCTTGTAATAACCCCCATAAAAACTGTTGTTCAGGACTGCTTACTTGTGCTTCCTACCCATTCGGCTACTATAATAACCATTGTTCTAGCCCACACGCAACATTTTTGAAACGCTTAAATTGGGGACATTTTCGAGGACAGCTTTTGCCGAGGACAGGTCATCCAATTCGGGGACGTCTGGTTACCTTTTACTGAGATAACTCCTGTTGAGATGCAGAAGAGAATAATAAATATGGGCTAAGAAGAGCTTTACCCATCATACAACATAGGGCAAATGGAATCAAGATGCATTAATCCTTCCAGATTTCCCACAGAGCTGTTTTTATGAGAAATGTGTCTAATTCTCCCACACTAATGAACTTAATCTGTACAGACCCTTGGGTACAGCGATGTAGCTCAATGAGCTGCACATACACGAGATGAAATGTTTTTTTAAAAAGTGTTTACAGTACATATGCAGAAGTGAGGAATAAAATTAGAAAGCCAAGCAGGCTGACTGCATCGAGACATACATCGGTTGTAAAATATTTGTCGGCTATAACTTGCGAATTTAAACGGTCCGCAATACTTTGCCACGCCATCTCACTGGCTTTCACAATGGCAACAGTGTTGCCCTTCTTTTGAATTTTTCCCTTGTACTCTTCGTACAACTCCACGAGTGTTTGCTCTGCCGCTGAGAAAGACTACACTCTGCCCTTTTTTTCCATGATCTCATCATTTCAACAATCAATACGTCGGGGCTTTTTATGTACCACGGAGGCGCGCATAGCCCTGGCTTGGATCACCCTGGCTAAAATAAGCGTTGATGAAAAACAGCTGAGCCTCGTTAGTGGAAGGAGTCGCAGCTAAGATTAAAGTGGCCGCTTATTCAAGCCACGCTTTTCGGCGATAGCCCAGCCTTCTTTAGCCAGCTTCGTGGAATACCGCCCAGGTTTATCAAAATGCTGAAGGGTTTCTGCAGGAGTAAAGCAGAAAGTCCTCAACACTGATAGTTTCCTGTCAGCAACATCTCAGTCACTGTGGATGTTCTCCTCCTCAAATTTCATCACCTTCCCTATCCACCTGAACCATCATTACTTTGCTTCGTGTTCCTTTGGTCTCCTTTGTGATTTGTCTCATCTATATTTTGCTTTGTGGATCAGTGTTGCTAAAGTTTGCATAAAAACTGAGTTTGCTTGAACTCCAGTTCACGTAGATCAGAATTAAGTGGTTCACTTTCATGGCCCATTTTTTAAATATTGAACTGAGGTCCAAAGAAGAAGTTTACGTTCATATGTTCAGCTGCACCTACATCATTTGTCTTAATCACTGACCTTTCCCAAAGCTAGTGCATTGTAAAGTTCCTCTGTAGACTCAAAGACAGACATTTAGTTTAGAAGCCAGAAAATCCAGTGTCAGTGTGTTTGAACAATTAAACATGTACAAATAAATCTGCTGCTCTGCAAACTAAGAAATACATACAGTTTTAATTTTCTGGAAGAATATTTTGACGAATGGTTCCTAAACTTAACCTAAGTACAGAAGGAAAACTGCTTCATAACTGATGATGTGAATGAGACACTTTCCACGTCCTCTGAATTTAACAGGCTCGGAGTTAAGAAACACTGACAAAAAAAGCAAAAAAAAACATTTAAAAAAATAAAAAAATAGAACAAAATAACACAAAAACAGTGAAGTCGTCTCTAATTTCAAAAAGCAGAAAAGCAGATTTATTTTCAAAAAGCAGACTATGCTCAAACAAAATGGGGATTTAGCCTTATCGTTTATAACTCCTTCAAATGCTCAGTAAAAATGGCTTCATCCACAGCACGACCAGAAGCTAAAAGAGAGGCCCATAAATCTGACTTCAGCTGCCTCAGCTTACCCTCTGTAACCTGGGGATTCCACTGGATCTGGAACAGCTCTGCTCCGCACCAGTGGGCGGTTCAAATACGCAAGCATACAGTGCCAGGAGAAGCACACGTGGGATTACCAATATTTCTCACGAGACTGGGCGAGATCTCATGAGAGCTTGCATGTTTCCCTGTGAGACATTGAATAAGATCCACTAATTGGTGTAGACTAATGGCGGTGTATAAACACCCACATCCCACAACCCTGGCTTCCAATTATTAAGTGAACAACAGTGCAACTTATTGACTTTTTTTTATTTTGAAAAATAATAGGATATTTTACTCTGTAGCTGCGTACAGCTTCTGCTGCTGCTCATGCTGCACTGCACTGAATTGATGCACTGTGCTGCGCCATCCGGCGAAAATGGAAGCCTTGCATATCTGATCCGACAGCCGGAGCTGATCTGCAGTGGAGCTGGACAGCGGATGGATTCTGTGGAATTACACACATTGATTATAATGCTTGTATATTTGATCCACCTGCCCTTCCGAATCGGGGCACAAACCCGGATCCTGTGGGTTTTAGCCGTAACTCTTGCTGAGGGGGGGGGGGGGTCTCAGAAAACTGCTGCTGTTCCCTCTCTGCTGAAAGACAAACCTAGGTGTCATGTACTGTACTCATTTTAATGTATGTGGAGGTCTGCGTGTTTGTCTGTCTTCCTCCAGCAGAGCACTCTGGACAAAGACTGCTGTGCCCCTGTCATTCACATCTCTCTCATCTTTAGCCAGACAGAGACTTGAACCTATCAGATATCCAGTTTATTTTCTGAGAGGTGAAAATGAGATAAGAAGAACTGTATTAATCCCTGAGAGGAAATTCAGTTGTCTGGGTTCTCATGTCTGTTTTATGTGATCTAATATTTACAGAAGAGTTGTAAAGTCTGATGGCTGTGGGTACAAAAAAACTATTCCAACTTATTATCCAGTAGTACATCTAGATAATTATATGATGTCACCACTTCGATGTTCACTCCACAGGTGTTCACTGGCTGAAACAGGAACAGCTTCTTCCACACCTCCTCCCCTCTCTGCTCTCCAAACCGATCACACACACAAACACACATGCGATTGTTCTAATATATGTTCAGTACACATGATCAGTTTAAGAAGTTTCCAGAACACACACTGATCTCACAGAACAACACATTGGGCTGTATTTTCGTGCCTCGCCGGCGTCAGGTCCGCCACGCCGACAAGGTGTTCCCAAGCACAATTTGGTATTTTGGTGAGCAGCGCAGCCCGGCGTAAGTAACCCCCCTCCCTAACTCAGCTCCTCCCAGCGGCGTAAGTTGTAGGGAGGGAGGAGAGAGGGCATGGAATGGGTTTAACACAGCCGAGACCTGTTTTCACCAATCACATAAGCTCCTCTCCTTGCCTTTAAATCCGCCACCAGCGAGGCATATTACTATTTTCATGAAGTAGTCAAAGGGATCAAGAGATGTCTGAAGACAGTAATGCCACATGACAGAAGACAGAAGGCAGCCCCTCAACAAGTGTCACTGTAAACGCTGCAGAGGGTGTCCTGCACACTCTCTCATATAAGCACAGATGGATTTGGTGTGTTTGTAAGTTTGGACCCACTAGTAAGACAAACCTCACGTGACAAAGGTGCGCAGAGATCACATCATGAATTCCAAAAATGACATCTAAATTAGAACCATCTGTGCATAAATGACGCATCACTCTCTGTGGCCTGGCTCTTTCTTTCATAGATGTTGGCATATAAAATAAATTTGGCTCACATTCAATATTACAATATTCGTATGTAGGCTTAAAGTAAATAACTCATCTGATCACTGAAACAGATCATCTGTTCAGTCGCCGCAGCAGCAGCTGCAGCAGGACGGGGAGAGGACACGGAGACATGTCGAGGTCAGATGTGCAAGAAATAAAAGGAAGAGGAAGAAAAATAGGGAGGGAGACGAATTACATATATTGTACACTTCATCATGTGTGTCTATTTACTAGATATTTAATTTAACTCAATGCAGTTTCAGCTGTGTTAATTCGGTCAGGTTGTGTGTCCAAACGCGTGCCAAACGCGCTCATCAGATAAGATATAGATCAGAATATATCTATATAGATCTAAATGTATGTGCTGACTCAGATTATTAGTTGTTGATGATTATTTGACACTGTGGAAACCTGCCGGTGAGGCATCGGTGACTTATGCAGATACGCCGCCTGTAATGTTGCTTGAATGTGTGTTGTGCTGCTTGAACGCGTCCTACTGAAGTGTTTTTGCGCTCTAGTGTGAGTTGTTTACATCGCGTTGCCATGGCAACACGTAGCCGGCGAGTCACCGAGAAACCAGAGGTTATTGAGTGCAGATTCGCGAGGTCCGTCAGCTGTTCAGTTCTAAGCTCCTCTCCTTTCCTCCGTTTTCATCCCTCTAGTCCATGCAATGTCTGTAAGTGTTCATACGTTGTTGTATTGTTGTATTAAGATGAAGGTTGTTTAAGTGTAAGTAAGTTGTTAAAACAGCTATGGCGCTAATCGCTAATGCTACACGAAGTTAGTTTCATGTTTTTCGTTGCTAGCGGCATTCTAGCTCGTTTGTGATTATAACGGCTAAAGCTAATGTAGCTTAGCTCAACCGCTTGTCTGTGTGTAAGCCGTAACTCATTGTTTTATATGTTACTGTATCATTTCAGTTTCACAAGATTCCTCAGTAAACTTGAAGAGGTGAATCAACTGCGTCTGAGAGTTTATTGGGGAGTGTTTATACTGCTTGGAAGTAGCCCATGACACGGCCGGTCTACCAAAATACCACTAGACCAGCTGCGCTCTGCCTGC